AAAACCAGGTCTGATTTCTTCAGCTTGACGTTGAAGGTCATCCACCGCTGGCCTTTGGGTTCCCATCTAGCTCCCACCTTCCTCTCTCCTAACCCACTGCATGCACCTGTCTCTACAGCCTACCTGAACTCTTCAAGGTTCCCCCAACAGAGTATCGTGCCTGTGTTTCCTCCATCGTGGACATCCTTTCTCTCATTTTTGTGTTCAAATCCTACCCACACTTCAAACCTCAGCTCAAGTGCCTGCCACCTCTTCATCAGGCCTTAAAAATTCTTCCCATCAGGAAATAATCTCTCCTATACATTCCTCCCTTGGCAATTTGTCTTTATATTTACAGAACTTAGCGCTTTCCACCTTATAGGTATTTATGTGTGGCTCTGGCTCCCCTGCTGGCCTGTGAGCTAATTTGCTTCTGTAGTCTTCCTCCTGGCACACAGTACACGTGCTCCAGAAGCACTCAAAATAAACAAATGTCTGTTTCTCTAATCCACATATGATGCAAATGAGATGCAAGTGAGAATGCAAATATTCATCTCTCTACGACCTGGACTTCTTCCTTGTGTGAAATCTTCAAAGGTGCTTGGGTGAGTGTGTGCTGATCTGTAGGGTCTGGCCAAAAATGAACCATTAGGAATCAACTGAACTCCAGAATTTCAACCAAAGGTCAGCTGTACACACATGGATGGGCCATTCATCAGGGTAGATGATTCTAGAAGAGTCTGTTTCCAGAAGAATACTGTCTCAACAGAAAGATAATGCTCTATGTTTATAGTGGTATGCTTAGTCAAGACAGTTAGGAACCCCTCTTCCCTATTGTTGGGGGGATTTCAATAAGACGTACTGCCAATTTAAGGGGCAGGAATCGGCATTTGGAGGAGTTTTGATTAATGCATTTTCTCTATTCTTCTCCAGGATTGGACAAAGCCACATTCCTTGGTCAGGCAACAAGGCCCAGCTACAAAACAGAGCCACTGAGAGATTCCTTATTCTCCATTGCCTTAGAATGTTTCATCTTTAGCCTAGATTCTACCTAGAGTCTACCTACTTTGGCGATTCATCTACTGGTTCTAAACATGGCACAGGATCCAAGAGATACGCTTGGAGTCAAGAAGAAGCAAAGCCTGAGCTCCCAATAAAACCATTAGAGGACAAACATCTCTGAATTACGACTACAGTTGCTCTGGCAGGCTGCCTCCTCCCTTTTTAATAAACCTGATTTTTATGGTGATAGGAGGTAAATGAAATGGGAGAGGGCTGTGAAATGCTACTGTGGGAAAAGGGGCTTTGAATAAGAGGCAAGCAGTTTATAACCCAGCTCCCAGGCATAGTGTGGGACCATGGTATCAGTAAAACCCCCTCAGATTTCTCCAAGCCTGTCTCTGCCTTCACTTATATAATTCTGGGGTACTAAAGGTTAAAGGGTTCTGATTTCTTTTTTTTAATACAGGTGTTTTATTTTATTTTATTTTGGCAGCTTGCTGGTACAGGGATCGAACCCTGGACCTTGGTGTTATCAGCACTAGGCTCTAACCAACCAAGCTAACTGGCCAGCCAGGGTTCTGACTTCTGAGAAAGGAATTCAGTTACCAGAAATATCTACATTCAGGAAAAGGAGCACAATACTAGTAAAATGGTTCCCCCAGGGGTAAACTAACCTTCCAAAAATTAATCAATTGATGGAATAATCACCTTGTTTTAAAATAATCAGGGAATGCAATTTATTCATGTCTACGTCCAATAGAAGTTTTTAAAAAAGACTTAGGCTGCCAAAATACCTTGAGAAAAGAGGACATTTTCTGTTAATTTTCTTTATTTTTTTCCCCTTCTCTTCTAAGCTAAGCTTTGACAGTTAAGAGGAAACTGGAGACAAACACAGCAGTGCAGGAAAGTGGAGAGAATGCTGGTGTGGGAGTCAGGGGACCCGGGGCCCTAACTAGCAAGGGACTTACCTTCCTTATGCATGGTTCAGGGGGGCAGAGCCATCATGTGCACAGCTCAGACAGACAGCCTCGGGAGCTGGCAAATGTCACCATCAGCATAATTTTAAAGGAAAGCCTCATCGGCCACTTGGTGACCCTAAGGATTAGCATTTGTCTGATGCTCTTAGATTTCAGATGCATCCCTTCATATCATGACCATGACAGTCCAGCCAAAGAGGTACCCTGATTCACATTTTACAGACAAGATCAGAAAGCAAAGTGACTTGGCCAAGCTCAGAGTGTGATGATCAGAGGTGAAGGACCCAGCTGATGCCAAGCCCAGCGCCCTGCCAGGACACATGCTGCTCCTCTGTTGTGGGTGCTTAGAAGGGAGATTCTCGAACCAGGGAGCTGACGGCATGATGATTTCTAAGATCTATGCTTCTACCAATAATGTGAGGGGTTGGATTAAATTAGGGGTTCTAAAAACTTCTTGTAGCAGAAAAAAAAAACCTTTCTTCTGAAATGAAATCTAACATAGAGCGCCAAAATATAAATTAGATCATTGCAGCATACATTTTGTTGAAAAAAAGATGGCTTCCACTCAAATATCCATCAACAGACAAAATGATACTAAAATGTACTATATCGATATAGTGGAATGTTACCGGGTCGTAAAAAGGAATGAAGTCCTGACACATGCTACAGCTTGGGTGAACCTCAAGAACATCATGCTAAGGGAAAGAAGCCAATCACAAGAGATTGTGATTATACTGTATAATTCTATTTATATGAAGTGTCAAGAACAGGTAAATCCATAGAGACAGAAAGCTGGTTGGCAGTTGCCAGGGGCTGGGGAGAGGGGGAAAGGAGAGTGATTGCTTAATGGGTATAGGTTTCCTTTCAGAGTGACAAAATATTTTGGAGCTAGATGGGGTGACAGTCACACAACATTGTGAATGTACTAAATGCCACTGAATTGTTTGTACACTTTTCAATGGCTAATTTTATAATATATGAATTTTACCTCCATATATAGGATGTTTCCAGACTCCCACCCCATCAGCCTCCCCCTTCCCATGTCCCTAAAGTGTCTCCACAGAGCCCTAGTATGAAAGCCAATAGAGTCATTAAATATGACAAAATGTTACCAGAGTCAAAACAGTTCTCATATGACAGCTGTATCCTCTTTCAGGAGACAAAGGTAATTTCTCCTAACCCACCAAATAAATAAGGACCAGTGACATCTTACTACCCAGAAATGGAAACTTCCATTGGTAACCAGCTCCAATGTTGATTCTAGTCCACAGTGATGAAGCAGCTTCAGATTTAGGATATGTCATTGGTTTTAAATTCAAAATTTAATTTTAAGTTTACCAAGAAAGAGAATAACTACCAAGTATTATTTTTTATTTGTTTTGTGTCCCGTAGATAATTTTACTGCTGAGTAGTCAATTAAACATTACTAAGTGACTACTATACATTAAATTTTTTTTTTATTATTTATTTAGGTGTCATTATCCTCATTTAATAGAAAAAAAATACTGAGGCTCAAAACATCTATGCAACCTCCCCAAAGTCTTACCACCAGCTGACACCAGGGCCAGGACTTGAATCTCAGTCTCTTCGACTCAAGAGCAAGTGCTTTCGAGTATGCCAAGATTGGTATCAGCAGGGTCAAGTTCCACCCCCACAGAATGCCTGAGAACTGCTTTCAGTCCCACCAAGAATCCGAAGCAGGCCTATAACACCCAGAGGTGTGCCAAGATACGTGGCACATGAACACTCGTCTGTGCCCCTCCTAATGTCTCCTCTGCATCTTTCCACAGCAGTTTGAGGATGGAAGAATTCAGGGAACCTACTTTTTTCTTCTTTTACAGTGTGTGTGTGAGCAAAGTGAGACCTGCTTCGAGAGTTTTGCTGACAAGCTGTCCTTAAGAAGGAACTAATGAGGGACGCTCTTTTGCTAAACAGTTGAAGGGAAAGGCTAGGACACCATTTGTTTTAAAAGATTTAGATTATAACCTATTCAAATGTAAGAAACTCTGGCTTCTAAAAGTAACTTCCAGCCTAGAAGCCTATGTGACATCATTTTATGCATTTGGAGTGACACGGTCTCAGATTTGGACACATAGGATTCAGTACTATGTCACTGTGCGTTTTCCGTAGGCATAAATCTGATGATTTTTCAAGTTATTCTGAAACATTTCTACACAAAGTGGTGGAGAATAATTTCAACTTTTTCCTGTGCATGGTAAAGTTATCAAAATGATAATAAGAATCCCTTATGTATAAATGCACTTTATAGATGACAAAGTGCTTTTGTGGATAATCATTTTCTGAGTGGAAGAAAAAAGTGAAATTAAGGAAAAATATCAGTAAGTGGTATTTAGCTATTAACATATACCCTAGCATTGTAGGTAAAAAAAAAAAAAAAAAAAAAAAAAAAAAGGGTGAGATGAAAGGGTTTTTATATTAAAATTGAAGTCAGGTTCTTGAAATTCTAACCATTCCTGGTTATCAATACGAAAGTCAATGCTTTTTAAATTTAAAGTGAGATGCTGCTACTTACAACTTGATAAGCTGTAAAATGCCTCGCGCATCCTTCCCTATGCTCCTGTGCCCCGTTGTTATTAAGGTTTAGATCTGCTTCTCATATGGATTATACAGGTGTAAGTAAAGAAAAACAAACAAGAAGGAGGAGGTTAATTTTGTTTTAATGCCATTTAATGAAAACGTGGAAGCCTTCCATCTCTTCCTGTTTTGGTGGCAGAGAGTAAGCAGGCTCAGACCACACAGCAGCTTTTGAACTTCTTATTCTCACCAAAGGAATCAGAATGCTAATGTGTCAAGGTCATACTAAAAAAACTGTACCACTGTGCCATACTAGCAGAGATAGCCACCAAATCTCCCTACAGTGACATACAGTGTCTCAGGACCTAATCACTGCTGGTGAGATCAAGAACTATTCAAGAATAGATTTTTGAGGAATGAATTTTATTGCAATAAATCTGACCATGTTGCAATCAATCCATTGCTTTTCCTTAGGGTGGACACATTATTTGGCTGCTGTCGTGTTTGCATTGCTGGAAGGATCCGGCAGCCCAGACACACCACCACTGTGAAGCACTGATCAGTGGAAGCCACACCTGGAAGGACTGGCCCAAACAAACTACAGGTGAACATTCTCAGCCAAGTCTTGACAACAGTGGCAATCTGTGCTTCACACAGTAAAGAATGCTTTTGAGAAGAACTCAGCCGAGCAGGCACCGTCCAGCCTGACTCAGAATATGACAAAACACTCCTCAGGGTATCATTTCCTGCTGGGCAGTAGAGCTCAACCTTGCCTGCACAGTAAGAGTCACGAAGGGAACCTAAAAACGTCTGTGGCCAGGCCTCCAGGCCAGCCTAATTAAAATCAGCATCTCTAGAAATGGGGGCTCTAGTACTGGTATTTTTGAAAGCTCCCCAGATGGTTTTAATGTGCAGCCAGGGTGAGGAGTACTCCTGTAGGGCGATTCTAACAATATTTGGGCTTGAGCCCAGCTGGTGAGGAGCCTCAGGAGAGGAACCTGCAAAACATCACTTGCTTAGGGAAGTCAGCATTCCTCCCAGTCTTGAACCAGAGCTGACGAGTGCTTAACTTGTCTGGGAGTGTTTGGGTCAATCTAATCATCATGGGGTTTGAGAAGTGCTATTTGAAATGCCTGTCTTTCATTTTTCTTGCTTAAAACACAGGCACAATGGTATTTACTCACCCCTTACTTTGTGAGAGCCTAGAATTTGGTAAAACCAGAACAAATAAAATACCCAAGTGAAATGTCATTCATTTCTGGGGTGATTCCGTGGATGGAGTCCCAGGCACATACACCCACCAACGTCCTGATGTAATGTCCCACTGGGTGGGTGGGGATGGACAAAAATTATAACTGTTGTAAATATGATAGAACTGTCAGAAATTCATTAAATTGGCTTTGCAAATTTTGAAACTAAAAGCTTGCACTGCAAGAGTGTAAACTACAAGAAGATCAAAAGGAAACAAGTCTTACCGTGTTCTGTTATCTATGGCCCTCTTCCCCTACACCTCATTTTACTCTTCCTACACCTGAGAATTACAAAGAGAAGCAACACACAGACAATGGTGGGCAAGCAGAGATCCTACCGCTGGGGGAAGATGAGTTCTTAGAAGAGACTTTCCAGATTTGGATAACAATCAGTTAGAAATTCATCAGCTGAAAACCCCATAGGTCAGATTAATGTAAACGTCTCCATCTCCTGATTCTGAATTGCTAGTTGCTTGGGGGCTAATAATTATAAAATGAAGATATGATTTATTAGATGGTATAATATGTAAATCTCACTCAGTGTTAACAGGTACCAGGAACATACCCGCTTAGGGCATGAAGCAGAGTTGATAGAAACAGATGTCATAAAAAATACTTACTGGTTCTCTCTTTTCTTCTTAAGTGGGTCCATGAGGCGCAGCGTGTCTCTGATCACCGCCACTTTCACTTCCTCATCGACAAGGCTGGGGACATTTTCAAACACCCCCGGAGAAAGCTTGAATGGTAAGGATTCCGTGTTACAGTGGAGACCGTGATTCGGTGCCAGGGGCCTATTAGCATCCAATCTTCCAAATAGGTCAAGGGATTGAACTACTTAATTTTGCCTATGCTAATGTATACATGAGAATTTTTAAAAGTTCCCTTTATACTGCCTTAAAAATGTCATTTTCCTTTTAGAAATTAACAAAATACATGAAGAGAAAAAATAGCACTGTTTTTCTCATTACCAACATTTTACATGCTCACTGTGGAACATCTGGAAATATAGAAAGGGGTTTAAAAATTAAAAGAATCAGTAATCCCCCCAGAACCCAATATTAGTATTTGGTGTATTTTCTTCCAGTTTGTTAAACACATTTTTGGGGGTAGAGGGAGAAAAATATAACCGCTGTTAAATGTACTTTTCATCTTAGTGATTCAAGCATGTCAACATGGCTAAATCATATTCATAGAATTTCAATTAGTTCATCTCCTGAGGCTAACTAATTAGTTCATGTCAAAACTGACGGAAAGGCTCAGCTGCTTCTAAGTTTCCAGACCTTAAAAACTGGAGGAATGGCACGCTCTGAAATTACCATAGGTCGGATAGGTCTCATATTAATAGACTCTGCACAGAGTTCAACAAAACTAAAATTATTTGACTTGAACAGAACTTCGCTGTGAAGATTTGAAAATGCTGAATCTTGTTTAGCCCAGCGAACAGCCTGGAGCAGGAACATTCAGCAGTGTGGCAATATAGTCAACGAGATGCTCAAGATACTTACTTCATGCTCGTGTTCAATTCTCATGCTGGGATTTGCATTTACTTCAAGTAGCATAGGCTTCAGATTTTTCATTAGAAGAATGTCGAAGCCTAAAATCTGGGCAGGATAAACATAGGTCAGAATTACTCCTTCTAGCCACAATTTCTTTTCAGGAGTTGAGTACAGTATTAGGGTCATTAAGGAGAAAATAAATTCAAATTCAGTCCCCAACCTTGGCCGTGACCCTGGCTTCTCTTGTCCATGGCCCCTCTGCCTCTGGGTGTACTTGTCAGGCTAAATAGACAGCAGAAAATTTTGCAGGAGCCTTGATAATGGGATGAGTTCCCATCGTGCATTTCAGCACTGTCTGTGTCGTCTGAAGTGCTGTAAGACGAGAACCTCTCTCTTCTTTAACAGGTTTTTTATTACGTAAAGGATCAGCCATAGTCCATCACTTTCTCCCTCTGCCTTCTCCTCTGCTGTCCTCTATTAAGTTGCTTCTTAGCTAGATCTCTGAAAACCTAAGGCTGCCTTTCTTAACCTGAGGTATACATCAGTATCATGTAAGATACCTTTCAAAACCACCATATCCCCGTACTCACACCTACTGAGTTGGAATTGCTCAGACCGCAACCCAGGAAGATGTATTTTGAAAATACAAATTCCCCAGGTGATTCTGATATACTCTTTTAGTTAAAGAGAAGGGAACATTCACGAGGCACCTCATAGGCACCAATTACCATTTAGTGCACGAATTATTCATAATCTCATTTAATCCTCATGACAGTGGTGTCTGAAGGTGGGATCATGCACTCCATTTTACAGAGGCAGAAACAGAGTCTCAGAAAGGCCAATAGATTTCCCCAAGGCTGCCTAGCTAGTAAGCAACAGAACTGGATCTCACAACCAAGCACAATCTGTGTGATCCAGCACAAAATGAAAAATGTGGGGCCCTTGTTCAAACAGTACTAATAATGGTGTTGACAACAGAGCCTTCAACCAAGCTTGGAGCCCTTCTGAACATGGGGCCCTGTATGACTGCACTGGTCACACACCAGTGAAGGTGGCCTGTGCTCAAAGCTCATTTGTAACACCATCTGTTGGACGCATGTTCTTCAATCGAGCCTGCTGCCTCAGGTGAGGTTTTGTCTTCTGGCCACTTTGTTTCCTTTCAATTCCTTACAAGGCCTACAATGGGGCAAGTCACCCGTGTGTATCTTGTTCTCTCTGCCTGAAATAACCCTTCATCTGGTAACTTCTGCACATCCTTGTGGCCGCCCACTGGTCCTAATTAAATTCAGACTCGGACTACAGGACTTCAGATGCTCGAGAGGACCCTCGCAATCTCCCCAGAAGTGATAATGTAGGGAGTTTCTAACATAACTGATAGTACCCTAAAGTCTCAAAATATGATGTGGAGAATAAAAGAGAAAAAAGAGAAAGATATGATTGTAGGCTCCCGTCCCCTGTGGACTCAAAAAGAAGGGATGAGGGAAATCCATTTACTTGTCCATATAGAATATGTATTAGTTAAATGATAATTATTAAACTGTAACTTCATCCTTATTAATGAAATGAGAGCCTGAAGGACATTTTTGGGGGGTGAGTCAAGATGAAGCTATTTTTCAATGAAGGGCAATAAGGATGAAAAGTTGGAAAAGTCATTCTTACTCAATTTTTCCTTTCCTGGTCATGAAAAGAAAGAGATGGAAATTCAGTAGAAAATGTTACATGTATTATAGATCTGCTTAATAATATATGACAAGTGGATATGAGTGATGAGGCCTTTTAGAGACTCTGGTGACATCATCAGTCTAACTTCAGACCTGGTCTGAGATGCACGATCTGATGGCGTGCATCGTCTGCAGTCAGCACCTCACTTTCTGCTGCCTCGGAGCAGTCCAGATTTGTGCATTCTCAGCCTGGTGGACTCTTCCCAGTTCAGTGCCCAGTGGTCTCATGGATGGGAGCTGGACCAGGGGTGGCAACACCTCATCAGCCATACTACCTTGCACCCACCAGTGGCACATTTTCCAAAACCTACACTTTGGTGCATGTCTTTTAATATGTTGGGTCTTGTACAGGAATGCTTTAGAGTCAGAAAGACCTGGGCTCCAATCTCAGTTTGGTCTCTTACACTAGCTAGACAACTTTAGGTAAGGTATTTAGCCTCTCTGAGCTCGTCTGAAAATGGGGATAACAGTAGCTGCCTTTCAGAGTTGTTGATGTGAGGTGAAAAGCAGTACCTAGGACTACGCTTTTCATATGGAAGGTACTCAATATGTGCTAGCTCCCTTTCCAGCTTCCCACCAGTTATGGCATCAGTGTGCTTTAGAGTCA